ATATATGCTTGTTTTTATTATATGAGCATGCAAAAAATACTTCACATTACTTCCCATTTAGTGGTTTTGTTTCCGTTATTGGGAAGAAAAAGGGGTGCCACTGACTGTACACTGGAAACTAGTTTTTTGGGGGGTTTTTTGTGTGTATTGTTTTTTTTTTTTTGGTACCAGGGCTAGAACTTGGGTCCTTGTGCTTGCAAGGCAGGTGGCAATCCACGGCCCTGGAAGCTAGTTATTTAGGTTTGAGTTTAGGGACAAGTCTTCCTCCTCGGGCTCCTATGAAGCAGGAAAATGTGGGGAGCACAGATGCACCTGTCTTTGTGCACAAGTCCGGTTGCACACTGGCTGTCCTGTGACTGTTCTGGGATTGGCTGTGTGGGAAGGAAGAGGACACAGAAGCCAAGGAAAAGGCCACAGAAGAGAGAAGACAAGTGACCAAAGAATCGTGTCAGGGATTGATCTCAAAAGTGAACTCGACTGGGTGTTAAGACAGAAAAGCCTGCAGGAATGTATGGGCTGGTAACGGTACCTTGGGGCAGAAATGCAGAGCTAGGAGAAGGTCACGTGAGGCGGGTGTGTAATCATTTCCCAGGAAGAGACATTTTCCCTTTCTGTCCTGCCTTCAGGGACACCCGCCTGTCCCTCCTCCGCCAGTTCCCATCCCACAGCCTCACAAATACAGGAGCGAGGTGTGCCACGTAACTACAATGCGTGAACCTCAGCGACAGGCCATGACCTGCTTTACGGCTTCATATTTTCTACTTGGTCAAGAAAGATTCTTTTGAGTCTTCACATATCAAAACAGTTTCTTTAACTTGATGTCATGATTTTCTGTTTGTGGTATTTAGCAGCCTCCTCTGTTTAATGTCGGATTTAACAAATTTCCAAAGTATCCCTCACTTTTAATATTCTGATTTTTCACTCATGAGTTTAACAATACTACAGTAATCACTAGTTAGCTACCTCTTAGGTAATATTAAATTTATCCCCAGTTGTCTTTCTCTAAAAATTTAAACGAGGTTTTTAAAAGCTCTATGAGTTTAATTTTTTCCCACAGTGAGTGTGTTCCTGCTTGTCTCCTATTTAATAAAATTATTGCATCTTACAGTTTTTGCTTTTAGTCATGGGATTGCTCTTTTAATAAGATATTCTAAAAAGACTAATGTGCATTTTCAATACTTGAATGAATGAGAAAAATGTTCTTTGGGATGAAAATTATGATAAATACATAATTATAGTGCAACTATAATATTTTTTGTGATCGATCTAAACAGGAAATACACACTGACTCGTTTTACCTGTCTGAGTATCTAGGCTGGCGGTGGCAAAACCTACACACATGTATCACAGCAGCCTGTTTATGTCGTTGAAGAGGAGAAAATGTAAGTGTAGAAGTCAGAGTTCTCATTCCTACCTGACCGAGGAAAGATTCTCTCAGAGACACCAGCAGTCCAAGGGAGGAGCTGCCAAGAACGATTTATACATGCTTGGAATTTGGAGACTTCTCCCTAAAGTACTTTTCAACACACTCAGAGGAAACAAATGCAACGTTACTGCAAAAGTTAACTCTGGGGAAAACTAATAATTGACATACACTTACACATATTAGGATCTGGGGATTTGAGCAATGTGATTGCGATAGTTTCTAATCACTTTCCGTCAGTTGCTCTGAGTGTCTGGGAGTTTATTCCCATGGGATTACCGCGCTGTAAGTCTCCACTCATTCTGGGCCATTGAATGGAATGAATACTACAGTTATACAGTGTTGACACATCTGTGGCCTGTGATGTTTCAGCGATTCCTTCCAGGTGTTAATCCGGTATCGTGCAACAACTTCACAAAACTGCTAGAAGAGAGTACTGAACTGATAACACCTATGGAGTTAAATAGTTCGAACCAGGCCACATAAAGAGTTATGGCAGAGCTGGTTCAGGTTGTTAGGTTGAGGTGTAAATAATATTTTATGGGAAAAAAACAGGTGATTGTGCAAAATGTAGCAATGTATTATTTGTCAAGGTATAAAACTGATCACAATGCAGATCAAAATACTGCGTCTACAGTTCTTTCTCTGTGCCAAGTACTCGATTTCATTTCATGCAACAGTAACAAGTATAACAAGATGTTTTACAGGCCTGTGTTCAGATAGTGTTTAGCTTCAGAAGGGAGGGAAAGAGACGCACAAGTACGTCGCATGAGGCACTTCCTGCACGTGATACACTGATATCAGAGCCCTTGCGCTTTTCCTGCACTGTCTCTCATTTTCTCTCTTATTCACTGGTTTTCTGCCAAGCACCAAGCATTTTCCAAGCTTGAGATCCTCTCGAAGGCCTTATCCACTACCATGAATTCTATTCCTCCCAACTGCCCTCCAGTTATTGTCTACCTTTTAGATTTCAACTCAAGTGTTAGTGCACAGGGAAGACTACTCCTAGCTACATTAATTTTTTGCATAAAACACCATAAGCGTTTTTCTTGTTGCCTTGTTCTATTCATGTCCAATATCAATTTTAAGGGCAATCTTCTCTGCTATTTCTGGTACATCTTCCTTTCCAGGCTTTTATCCAAAAGAATGGACCAATATTTTACATGAATTATTTACACACCTCTCAGTGTAGTGCCCAGAATGTGGTAAGAAATACAAAGTAATTTCTTTAGTAAATTTATTGCAAAAATAATAGCAAATCAGACATGCAAGCTTAAAAACTGCATGGTTTGTCTTAGATTAGAAAACCAAATTATAAATAATTTAAAAGAGAAAAATAAAATATTGATAATAGGAAACATGGAGATTTTTGCAAATGGAAAGGGAGTCGAGGGATTTAGGGAGGGAGAGGAGGAGCAAAGGAGCTGAAGAGGTTGAGATGTGCTGTGTAGATGCTGTTCTTCACTACGGACGCAGTCTTTACTGCTGCAAAGAAGTATTGATGATGACTGAAAACCTGAAAAGCGGATCACCTTGAATGTATGCACCAACGCTTTTGATTTTTTTTTTTTTTGGAATGATGTTTCACAGTTAATACATCTCACTTTAGTTATAATATTAGCAAATTCTTACAAAAATCAAAATAATAGGACCACTCCACTTGCTTTTTACCTTAGAAACTGATGAGTGAAACCCAAAAGCCTATTCCTCAATTAAAATCCAAGTGCTTTTTGCCAAAATTCAAAGTAAAAACTTACAGTCCAAAAGCCAATGCTCCAAATATGGAATCTTTTTTGATTTTTGATAATAGAAATGAAGAGGTTGAGAAATGGCTTAAAATTTCTTGGTGCAAAGTAGGCCAGCAACATAACGCAGAAAAGAGTCCCTTCTACCTACAAAAGTAGAAAACATGTCTTATAAGTGCCACAGCCAGGAGAGAGAGCAGGTTTCAAATTTACATGAAGCCTGCCTCGCTCCTGAAGGAGAAGGGGAGAAGAACCTCAAGGAACTCACGCACTCCAGAGACCTCCTTCAGGCTTTTTCTTGTTCTACATCGAGTTTCACCCCAAAACTAAAGGGTCACATCTTCACCTATGCCTTGGAGAGAATGAAAAAAAACCAGTGGGGGACAAAACCCAGGGCTGCTGGAGGTGCTGAGCTGAAGGGAAAATGTGCAAACAACGCAGGAGAGGCTGTTGCACAACAAACAGGAGTCATCAAGGCTGAAGGAAGGAGAAGAAGGAAAAAAAGGAGGGAGATGACGGAGGTGATTCACTCTCAAGCACGGTTTTTCTCTTAGTTACAATGTATGTAACAATTCTCCTGCTATGTACATTTGATTTTAAACAAATAACTGAATGTATGGTGTGGAAGCTGTTTTTAAGCCATCTTTTATGCAGCTAACACACCACCAAACACGTCTAGCACTGCCCCAGTGAGATCTTCAGTCTTGTGAAGGTGCCTCGCACAGTACAAGGTGTGTGAATTGGAGTGGAAATTTAAAGCAGGTTCTCAGGTGTGCACAGTAAAACTTAATTACACATGGGGAGGAGGGGTTCGTCATCTTCGTTGTCTCTGGTGCAGCCTTGTACAAGACCATCATTATTCCATTAACTGAATAATTTTGTGAAATTGCAAAAGAGAGAGAAAGAAAGAAAGAAGGAAGGAAGGAAGGAGATGGAGTGAGGCAGCTGGTTCACTGACATTTTGAATACTTGTAAGTAAATACATTGTACTGGAGAAAAACTCATGACTGTATATCCTACCAATGAAAAGACGTACAATAAACAAAGAGACAAGGATACCAATGGCTGCAGAGTCCTACACTGCTGTTGCTTCCTATGACCCCTCAACACTCCTGAATTCTGCAAGATATTCTGTGGTCTTATAACCAAGCACTCCTTTAAACTTGCCTTGTTTCAGAAGTCTCTGTTGCTTACAAAAAGAGAGAGACAGCAAAAAGAGTAGCAGTGTGAGAGAATGAAAAGATGAAAATAAAGTGTTTGTAGATGGGGAGGGGAGGAGGGGGTGAAGGGAGGGCAGAGGTAAGGGGAAAAAATGAGAATCAAGACTTGTCATGCAGAGGTACATGATCCCAACAATGAATGTAACTGTACTGTATCCCTAAAATGTACCAATAAACTCAACTAAAGCTGAAAAAAAATATGTTGAACATATAAAGGATTTATTAGCATTGTTTTTAAGTGAATTAATAAATACTATTTTTAAATCCCTCAAAAATAAAAAGAGTAGCAGTAACTGTGCTATTAAATATTATGCTCAACCTGTCTGTATTAGTTTTTTAACTCAAGTTTATTGATACATTTTAGGTATACAATGTGATGACATTTATCACTGGGAATTTGTACCTTTACATGACGTATCCTGGTTCTTTTTTAAGCTCCATTCCCCTGTCCTCCCTTCCACCTCTCCACCCCTCCCTATTTATACTCAAGTGAAATAAATAGGACACACATGTGTAAATACTGAGTCGTTTCTCTGGTGTGAGAAAGTGAAAGTGTAAATAAGTATTAAAGGGTATAATACATAATGTAAAATAAGAAGAGGCGGTCCAAAGGGGAAGTGGGGGAGTAGGACAAGGAAAAGGAATAAATATAAGAAAAGCAAAAAAAAAGAAACAATGTCATTGTAAATAGTTTTTATGAGATTTATATTCTTCCAGTGGAGTAACAGGCTGTGTCTTCCACAAAACGAATTTCGGAACCAGAATCTTAGTATAATAAGGCATCAAGTGTTTTGGGGAGAAGTATCACTTTTCTTTTAATTATCCACTAAACGTTAATCCCGAAGGCACACATATTTGTCTTGGTTGAGGTTTTGGGATAACAGAGCCATTTCATTTTCTCCTGCAGAGCAGAACTTTACCCCCATGGTACATATGCACTGGCCATTACCGAGGGCCACACATAGTAAGGACATAATTGGTACTTAGGAATTGAAATAGTCAGAAAAGGTCAATATCCATCTGGCACGATCCAGTGTTTCTTTATTCTTTCCTTTAATTTTAATTTTTTCTTTAATTTTAATTTTTCTTTTAATTTTCTTCTCTTCAAATTCATCCAATTGTTTCTAACACAGTTTATTAAAATGTAATGTCCACAGGCCTGCAGGTTGGAGGGAGGGTGGGTTCCCTGCACTCGGAGGCCAAGTCCCGAACTCAGGACAAAGCCATGCTCCCTCCCTGTCCTTCTCCTCTCTGGACCACCGCTCTGAGACACCGTCACATCCATGAGATGCTGGAGACCTCTGTTGTGACAAGCAGGGACTAGATTCGCTTAGTGACCCACAGGGGTACAGAATGCTGTGTCTCATAAGGACTCCTCGATCCAAATGGCAGTGGGGTAACAACGTGATAAAGTCAAGGAACTGAGAGGGGCACCGGCTCAACCTGCTCACCACCGCCATCACGAAGAGCCAGCAGGGTGGGGGCCGGTTGGGGTCAGGTAGACCTGAGATGTGGGTTGGGAGTCTGCATTTCCAGCCTTCCTAGCTGATGCTCACCACTGGGTCACACACCGAGGGGCAAAAGCAAAGAAAAATAAGTGCAGGCAGGCATTCCCAGCCCTGAAGTCTTTAGCTGAGACCCTCCAGATATATCACAGAAAACCCTAAAACTTCAGAATATAAATACATTCCTAAATGTGTTTTTGATTGACAAATACATACTGTTTACAGAGGGCAACTTGAAGTGTGATCTATGTATACATCGTTGAGTGGCTAAAACAAGATAATACTCAGCATTTTTCTAGTGTAGACATTTAAAAGCCATCCCTCAATCTGCAATAATACAGAAGATCCTAATAAGATTACTGACATTTAGAAATGGAAAGAAAGGAGCTAAAGGTGTAGGGAAGGTGGGATGGGTAGGGGAAGGGTAATAAGGGAAAAGAAAAAAATGTGAGATAATGAAAAGATGGAAATAAAGTGTTTGTAGATGGGGAGGGGAGAGGGGGTGAAGGGAGGGCAGGGATAAGGGGAAAAAATGAGAACCAAGACCTGTCATGTAGAGGTACAAGATCCCAACAATGAATGTAACTGTACTGTATCCCTAAAATGTACCAATAAACTCAATTAAAGCTGAAAAAAATAAATAAATAAAAAATAAAAACCATCCCTGGAATTTTTCAAGTATGTGGAGCATTAATCACAGTCATCATGTTATAGAATAGATCCCCTGATCTAATTTCTCTCCTGAGACCTAGTGTCCTTAGAAGGTCTCCCTAATCCCATCGTGCGTCCCTTGAACCAGCGCAGGCTCTGGATCTATGAATCAGACATTTCTAGAGTCCACACGGAACTGAGACCCAGCGGTATTTGTGCTTTGGTGCCTGGTTTGCCTCACTTAAAGTAAAGTCTTCCAGAGGCACCCATGCTGCGATAAATGAAAAGAAGTCTTTCCTTTCTTAGGCAGAGAGACACTTCAGTGGGTTTCACATATCAGCACTTGCAAATGAAACTGCAAGGAGCATAGAAACATGCATGTTACCTCTCCACACTGATGTCACTTTCATAGGCACTGCCACCTGGAACCCCAGTCCTAGGACATTTCTTTTGGTAATTGATTGAAGAAGGGTCATACTATTCTCCAGAGTGGTTATGCTGATTTACATTTGTAACAAAAGTGCAAGTGCACCTAGGTTATATAAAACATATGAGTCAAAGCCATACAGTTATGTTTTACGGGAACTGGAAGATACGGTCATCGTTCTGACAGCGTTTTTTCTGAAGACATGCTTCACGGCCTGCTTTACATCTGTGTTCCTCAGACTGTAGATTAGAGGGTTAAGCACTGGACTCACAAAAGTGTAGAAGACAGCTATGATTTTGGACTGCTCAACGGTCTCGTCTGTTGGTGGCCTCACATACATGCAGAAGAGAGTCCCGTAAAACAAGGTGACGGCCACCACGTGGGACCCGCAGGTGGAGAAGGCCTTGCGCCTGCCCTCGGCGGACCTGATCCTGAGGACGGCGGCCAGGATGAAGGCGTAGGACAGCAGGATGATGCCGAGGGAGGCGGACAGGTTGACGCCCGCCGAGATGAGCATGGCGTGCTCTTTGAGGAAGGTGTCTGAGCAGGCCAGCTTGATGAGAGGCGGGTCCACGCAGTAGAAGTGGTTGATGACGTTGTGCCCGCAGAAGGTCAGGCGGAAGGTCAGGGTGGCCTGCGCCAGCCCATCTGAGAAGCCATAGGCGTAGGGCAGTGCGGCCAAGGTGACGCAGATCCGCCGGGTCATCCACACACGGTAGCGCAGCGGGTCGCAGATGGCCACGTAGCGGTCGTAGGCCATGAGGGCCAGCATGTAAAACTCTGTGAGGAGGAGAGCGATGAACACGTAGCACTGTGTGAAGCAGCCCGCGAAGGAGATGGTCTTCCTGCACGACAAGAAGTTGGCCAGCATCTGCGGGGTGGCATTGCAGGTGTGGCCCAGGTCCACCAGCGCCAGGTGCGTGAGGAAGAAGTACATGGGCGTGTGCAGGCGCGGGCGCAGTCTGATCAGCAGCACCAGGCCCAGGTTGCCCAGCGCGGTGACGAGGAAAAGCAGCAGGAAGAAGGCGAAGAGCAGGGGCTGCAGTTCCGGGCGGTCCGTGAGCCCCAGCAGGACGAACTCCGTCAGGGCGCTGCCGTTGGCGAGGGGCATTTCCTCAGGGCCGGCGGCTCCACGAGGTGCAACTGGGGAGGCCACGCAGACAGGGAGACGCAAACCACGTTAATGACCATCGAAACCGTCTTCTTCTTCAAGCACTTGATCCACAGTGCATGTTACTATAATCTGATTCTGTTTCTTTTTTTTTCCCCCCCTCACTGAGTTTATTGGTACATTTTAGGTCTACAGTACAGTTACACTCATCATTGGGCTCTTGTACCTTTACATGATGTATCTTGGTTCTTATTTTCTCCCCATCCCCCCGCCCTCCCTTCACCCCCTTCTCCCTTCCCTATTTACAAATACTTTATTTCCATTTTTTCATTTTCTCATTTTTTTTTCCTTTTCCCTTATTACCTTTCCCCTACCCCTCCCACTTCCCCTACACCTATACTACTCAGCCATAAAGAATGAGAAATTAGTCATTCATAGGAAAATGGATGCATATTGAGGATATACTCTTAAGTAAAATAAGTAAGTCACACATGTGTAAATACCGAATAGTATAACTGTACATAAGATCCTAATGGTATAATTGATAGTGTGAACTAGGAAGAAAAGGGCTAATGATTTTGTGTTTCTACTAAACCATTGTTTCACTTGTCCTTTTCTAAAGTTACTATATTTCTAGCCCTGTACCCATACATATTTCTATATCTATATCCTTAAAACTGAGCTCAGCCTGCCCTCATTATCTTTTGGTTCTCAGCAGGTCTATCCTACACTGGTCAGATGGAAGATCCAAGTTTGGCGATGCATTTGTTTCACTCTATGTCCCACATATGTGTGATGACTCCGTCTCTTTTTACAGTATACTTCCAGTATACCCACTTTGCCTCTAATTTATTCTTAGAACATTTCAATGCAGTAACGTGTTTTACTTTTTACTTCTCCTACGTAAGGTCTTGAAGGATGGAACAAAATCCAGTTCATTATTTTACCAATGCTGTTCCTCTTATATTTATACACAGATTTTCAAAAACAAAATAAAAGTAACATGAATGGATGACTCAACAATGTTTAACACATCTGTGTCCCTGAGAGCTTTTCATGATGTTCTGTACTGGGGGAAATGAGTGATTTTTGAAATTTTGTTTATAAATCAATTTGGGAGAAGCTTGTTGTTCAAGCATATTCACAGATACTTTATTTTAGAATGTCCTATGTAGGTTACTCAGTTCTGCATATTTAATATTTATCCAGAGAATCCTAATGCAAGTCTTCACAGACTGAAGCCAAGGAACGTATTGTCACAAAAGCTCCCAAACCAGCTGCAGGGGAAATTCAGTGTCACAGCGTCTGCATCGCAGGCACAAGGACCTAGAATTCAGTGCCCCACACTAAAAGAAGGAAGGAAGGAAGGAAGGAAGGAAGGAAGGAAGGAAGGAAGGAAGGAAGGAAGGGAGGGAGGGAGGGAGGGAGGGAGGAGAGAGAGGGAGGGAGGGAGAAAAGAAAGAAAGAAAGAGGAAGGAAGGAAGAAGAGAAAGAATCACAGGCATGCTTATCGAATAACCATCAACTAGATGATTTTCCATGGTGTTTTGGGATTATGACAGCAATAATGGGGTATTTCCAAGGAAAAAGAGTTAAATTTTGCCTAGTTAACATTTAAGCTGTTTAGGTATTAGAATTTCCTCCAATGTTTTTATTTCTCCTAATATCACAGCCAATTAGCCCCGAGTCCCTTCCTCTTTTCTCTCAAGACATTTTAAACATTTGACCTTTCCTTTGTATTTAAAATATTCTTCAATAATTCTTGTCTCATTCTAAAATTCATGACCGCATTCATGTTCCTGTACGTTTTAGGTCAGTACACTCAGACGTATCTTTTTGATGGTGTACCTCCTTTACGCAGAGTGCTAAGTACCTGAGAAACAGTTTTTAATGCACTAGGAATGCTAGATTCCTAAATGTGTTTTAAACGCATTTCCCAAGTTGCAACTCGAGGCTAAACGCTGTGCACACAGTAACAGAGTCCACATGCACACAATTTTGTGTGACAGGTGCTATCATCCTCATGCTCCTTTTGGGGAAAATTAAATAATCAGGGGAAGGACATACCGCTAATGGGTTTAGGATCTGCTCACCTGTTCTGTTTTTAAAATCATCTGATTCCGTTGCTGATATTTTGCCTCAAACCTCAACTGTGTGACGAAGCTCCCCGTTCAGAACCGGAAGGTCTTGATGGACACAAAATAGCTGGGGACGAGGACAATCACGGCATCCTGCATAGTGCAGCACGGGAAACACAGCAGTGCACCTGATGCACCTGGGTAATATCTCCAGTAGAAGCGACAAAGCGTTCTGATGTTAGAAGTAGGCTGAGGGATCTGGATGCAATGCTCATGCTACATTTTCAAAGTTTCGTAGCTGAACAAATCACTATGTTTCTCCGGTTTGAAAGTCATGACGGTGTTGTCTGCCTTGCCTGCCTGTGCCTCCGGTCACTGTTGAAATCAAGCTGAATATTTGTAAATCCAGACTTTTTGATACTCGAAGTATCATGTGATATTGCACTGCGGATGCGGGAATGAACACACCTTCAAACACGCTTGCCCTGCTACATCCCCTCCGGTGGAAAAGGTCTGATAGAAATGTAAATGAACAAGTGGTATTTTAAGTTGCACTGTTTTAAGAACAGTGTCTTAAGGAAAATAGAGAGGGGATGCTCAGGTGCCAGGTGAGCTCACTTGGGGGGTGCAGGTGAGCCTTTGGGCACAGAGCATGCAGATAGCTGTGGAGAATCGGGGCTGGGTGCTTCCCTAAATGTTTACTTCACCGAATCTCTGGTTTTTCTCTATCTTTCACTTTCCTATGAAAAATACCATCTGCCTTCACTTGAGAACAAGGGTGACAGCTGCTCTTCAAGAAATTTAGAAGGAGATATTCTGGGGAAAAAATATGTTTGTGTGACAGCAGCAAGAGAAAGAAAATTTATTTTGGGTTTTGTTTGTTTGTTTGTTTGAGACAGGGCTTCCCACTGTAGCTCAGGTTGGCTGTGCAGATGCTCCTGCCTCAGCCTCCCAAGTGCTAGGATTACATGCATATGCCACCAGGCCCTGCGATAAGTTATTTTGATCATCATCTATATCCAGGAATCCCCAGATGGTAATAACAGAAGCTGAGAGAAACAGAAGAAAGATGACAAGATGTATACATGCAAGGTAAATAATAAAAAGAAGAGATCACTAAAATTTATACCTGAGTTCACATGCAGGAGGAATCACTTGTGTGACATTTAACGACTACCTGTGGCACTCACTTTAATGAAGTTTGAGTTACAAGCTCTGTGGCTTGTGCAGGATCTAACAATACCCAACAGAATTGGAACAGAAGGACTTGGAGAGAGAGAAGAGGAAACGAGATCACACCGTGAGATGTGTGTATAGACCCGCAGGTCTGGCTGCCTGGCATTTCCAGAGCCAAGGGGACACACGGAGACGAGCGTGTGGGCTTTGCTGGGTAACTCAAGGACAGAGGGAAGCCAAAAATGGAAAACCTGGAATGGGGACCAACTCCACAGGACCCTGACTTCCTTACAAATAAGAACCCAAGAAGCCTTGTTCAAAATATTAAAAATTTCTAGGCTGTGGAATACAGCACTGAAACAAGTTGGGGCTTCTCTGAGCACAGAGCTGTGCACCACTGCATAGGCTATGCACAGGGACCGCTGGCCAGGCCTGGGACACAGAGGCACCAGGATGAGGAAGGGGAGATAAATGGTAAGGCCCTGCCCTCCATTGCAAAGAAAAAAGAAAAAAAGGTGGGAGGAAGAAGAGGTAGATGGAGGGAGAGAAGAAAGAAGGAATCAAGGAAGGAAGGCAGGGAGGGAGGGAGAGGGAGGAAGGAAGGAAGGAAGGAAGGAAGGAAGGAAGGAAGGAAGGAAGGAAGGAAGGAAGGAAGACAACCAAGCAAAGGATTTCCACAAAGGTAACAATTCACTGGAGAGAAACCAGTTTCAAAGGGCTGGTTGTGCACATAAATTTTGTACGCTGTTTAATTACAATTAAACCAGAGCAGCTTGCCAAAAGGTAGAGTTAAAGGAAAAGTTTTAACAAGAAGTCATTCCTAGAGGGGTTCTCAAAGTGGATCTTTTCCATGTTTGTTTACTTGTTTAACGCATTATGTGTGCTCCTTGAAAATGCCAAGGAAGCAATGAGTCTTCAACAAAAGGAAATGCGTCTACTCGAAGCCTTCCCCTAAAACATATGCTCCTAGTGCATAAGCCCCATCTGAACATGGATTTATATTTTTGTGTACTGAGGGGGAGTATTTGCCTGTTGCTTTACACCAGTGACATTTGAGCAAAATATCAAACAAGAAGATCAGAGTGAGTGGCACTAAATCTTCGGTCAGGGAAATTAACTGAAGCTCAAATTCTGCTGGTGAAAAAAGCAGAGATAGTAAGTGTGTGCTTTTAGCAAAAGCACATGCTTTTAAAAGAAAAAGAAAAGGCACAACAAAGTTAAATTTGTCTTCTGGATCACTGGAGGGAAACAGGCATTAGTCAATTCATGCTTGAAAAGTGGAGATAAGCAGTATTTTTGATAGGAACAGCATCAAAACAATAATTGCCCTTCAATTGAAATGTAACCGATAGTCTCCATGGCCGATCTCCTCTCTCTACCTCTACACTCACAGCCACTGAGAGAAGTCTTGTCCTTCCTTCAGGATTTAAAGTCAAGATTCCTGTTCCCCACAGATTTGCAAAATCAAGAAAAACCTGGCTCCTAAGAATGACACTGTATATAATTTCTGGGCCTCGTTTTGAGATTCTGCTATAATTTCCTCTTGAATAAAATAAGGAGATAAAAAGACAAGAACTTACTTGTGTTTCTGACATGCATTTGTTTCTGAACCTCTGCTCCCGTGCGCTTCTTGAGGCCCCGGTGACCTGTAGAACACAGCCCTACTTATATCAGCACGAGGGAAGTGGGGCTCCAACCACCCTCACAGGGACGAAAGAATGTAAGTGATTAATGCTGCCCTGGGAATCAAACCAATAGCCTTAATTGAAACATTCTGGGATCGGGGAGCGAATTACATTTTCTATAATTTCACATTCATCAGTGTTTGTCCAAGAGCTCTGTGAAAGGAACAGAGAAGTTTATCTTAATGTTCTTCCTTCACGTAGTAAGAATCCTTGACATGAGATCGACCTTCTTTACCATTCTTGCCTTTTTTTCTTCCTTTACCAATTTTAAATGCACTCTATAATACTGTTAACTGCAGGTACGGTGTTTTACTGGGGATCATGCTATTCCTTTCCTTTCCCTTTGCCAATTAAAAGTATTGACACAGCTGAATGCACTTTCAGTACCCAATTCTGCTTTTGTAATTTTGCTCAAGCCCAATCTAGTCAGGCTTTCCCCTCATTGCTTCTGGGAAACTGTTCTTACAAAAGACAAGTATGGAAGCTGGGCGTGATGGTGCACGCCTGTAATCCCAGCACTCAAGGCTGAGAGGCTACAAGTATGGAAGCTGGGCGTGATGGTGCACGCCTGTAATCCCAGCACTCAAGAGGCTGAGGCAGGAGGATCACTGTGAGTTCAAGACCAGCCTGGGATTCATAGTGAGTTCCAGGTCAGTCTCAACTACATAGTGAAACCCCGTCTCAAAAAAACCAAAAAAAAAATAAAAATAAAAAAAGACAAGCATAGGCTTTATATTGCTAAACTTGTTGATCAGCTTCCAGTCCTTACCTTTCTTGACTTAGAGTTTACATTTGACACCCTTGAGTTCATACTTTCTTGGCCAGCTTTCTTCTCTCATATCCCAGGACATGAAACTCTCAAATTTTCCTCCTACTGCATGGCTGGTCCTCATCATTTTGTTAATTCCTAGTTTGTCCTGACTTTTCGTGTTGAAGGAGCTCAGTCCAGCAACTGCCCTTTTGTACTTATACTTTATTTTACTAATAGCATTCGATTTTCTGGTTTCAAATACTCCTGAAATATTATGCCTCCCTACCTTAGCTCTTGAGCCCATACACCTTTTCCGAACTCCAAACTTCAAATTCAATTGCTGACAAATCCACATGGATAACAAGTGCAATGACAACTCCATGTGACAACCTGAGACCCTCCCACCTTCCCCTAACATGCTCCAAACACTGCATTCCCAATTTCAACTCAGTGAGGTGAGGTTAAACCAGCAAGCAAATGAAAAGATGCATTTTGAAGTTATGGTTTCTTCTCACTTCATACACTCCATAAGCAGCCCATCAGATAATTATTTTTTTACTTCTACCTCTAAAATGCTCTGTCCTTAAGACAACTACATTCTACCATCTTGAATCTTGCCCAGTATCTCTTTTCAATCATATTTCAGAAACAGTATTTCAAATTGATTGTCCTTTCTCTACAGTAAACTAAAATCTCACCTGTAAAATAATGTTTGCAAAGCTTGCAAGCATTTTTAATATCTTTTTATGCCTGTGTACATGAATACATGGAAACACACTCCCATTAAATATATTATGGATATAAAGAATCAAATAGGTTTAATCATATTCTATACAACATGTACCCTCCTACAACATGGATGGGTGTCTGTGATTATGAACACTGTAGTTCGTTTCTATATCTCTTCTTTTGTACCCTGTGTATAGAACTTAAATTAAATTTATAAAATATTTCTGAAGTTTTACACACAAAAATACTTTATAAAAAGGCATTTTATCCCTCATCCTCATAAAATATTCTCAGAAAATCAGTGGAAGAAGAATTAGCCCTGCTATATAAATGAAGTACCAAACTCAATTATTAAATCTGATCTGTTGTGCCCAGGAAATTTACACAGACAGAAGTGACATTTATTAGTTTAATTTTGTTTTATTTATTGGTTGTTGGAGGAATACACTTTTATTTGTTTGTTTGTTTTCTAATTGGGAGTAAGGTAAAATATGTTGTATATAACTAGGAAAGAGGGGAAATCTTGACTTAACACCAATGCTTTAAAATTATTTACCTTTGTAATGATGGTCAAACTTAAGAGACAAGAACCCAATTTGCACCCCCTAAAAGGGGAAACAGTTAAGAATCCTGAAAACATGCATGTGGCCTAAAGTGTGGACTAATGAGAATCATATTTTTGACAGTATAAATTGGTAATGCCACTAGCCATACAAAAAGAATCTAAAAATTTTGTTTCCTTATGAACCAGAAATTAACAATTTACATGATAAAAACGTTTTCACTGGTGCATATTTAAAATTACATAAGAAAACTTGTCACTGGGCTTTCATATCACCAAGAAAGTGGGAAAATGTACTTGTCACTCGATAGCAGAATGAATACATAAATTGTATCATATATTGGAAAAAATATATTAATGAAATATGTAGATACAGCTGGGTAAATGAAATCGTGTTAGTGAAAATAAAATAAGTTGCAGAAATACGCAGGCAATGATTTAATTTAATCAATTTTAAATGTGGAAAAATAACACTATACATAAACATGTAGCATAATCATATAATCATATAAACATATAATAATATAATGATAAGAAACTATATATTAGCATTATAATAGAAAGGAATGAGAAATAGAACAAGTAGGAAATACAACTATAAATATCTGAATTATATGAAAACATTTTGATATTGTGTTATTTAATAATTATTAGTGCTGACTTTAAAGGGGGTCTTTACACTATCTGCTATTTTTTGGCGGTAGAGATAATTCATTATACAATGTAACAAATGAAGACTTAATAGTAATTTAATAATAGAAGTAAATATCAAATGTATTTCATGTGTGAAAAATTAATTTTCCCAAAGCACACAATAAAACACTAAAGTAGAATCAAAACTATATGACAATACTTAGAATAATGAAATTTTAGGATTTTCAGATGATATGATAATTAAAACAGCTAAAATGAAAGACATCTCTTTATATTTTTAAGACAAAAGATTAAAATAGGTAAAAAAATATAAGCATGATCTTAAAATAGGCAAAAGATATGCACTGTCATAAAAATTTGAATATCAATAGATGCATGTGTGTTACACGTGCCCAAGCAAATATCCATATATTAATATGGTTAAAACAAATACAATGTCTTTAACAATTACAGAGAATATTAATGAAAGAGCAGAGGAAAGGCATCAAATTCACAATCACAAAACCCAAATACCATTTCCATGGACACCTTACATATGAAAGTTCCATGCACTGGTGACATCCTTTGAAAGATATTTCTTAATTCAATTATCTGAAAAATACTCAGAACATTTTCATTGTTAAATAATTTGCATAAAGGCAATTTTTAAAAATCATTGTCTATCCTTGACAAATTTCTGGGAAATAGTTTTGAGGTTATTAAGCACTGTAACAATCAAACAAATTTTAATTGCCTTAGCATTTGATAATTCTGTCTTTCATAATATGGGAACAGTTTGAGCACTGTGAATGAAATAATAGGCTCTTTAAGATTTCACAGAACTATAAGAGTGCTTCTGATCTTGTCTTTCAACATCTATGCTTTAAAAAAAAAATCACTGACTTGCAACCATAAAACTTACCTAAAAACAACACACAAAGGTCACATACGTGGCTTACAAAAAACCATAAAGAATCCATGAGAGAAAGTGATTTGTTAATTTACAATGCACAGTAAGTGCTTGGAAGACAAGGCTATCTTGCACACCTGTAACTATGTCTACTTTACTTAGCAGACAATTCCTTTTGGATAACTTTCCTTATTGCTCTTTTAACATCTTTGTTCCTCAGACTATAGATGAGAGGGTTTAGCATTGGACTCACAAAGATATAAAACACAGCTACAATTTTACCTTGTTCTACAGATGTTTCAGAAGGAGGCCTCAGGTGCATGCAAAACAGAGACCCATAAAAGATGGTGACAGCCGTCAGGTGGGACCCACAGGTGGAGAAGGCCTTGCGCCTGCCCTCAGCAGAGCGGATGCGCAGGATGGCTGCGAAGATGAACACGTAGGAGACAAGGATGATGCTGAGAGAGCAGGTGAGGTTGGACCCAGCCACCACAAACATGGCGGTCTCCTTGATGTAAGTGTCTGAGCAGGCGAGGACCAGGAGCGGGGGGTCGGCACAGTAGAAGTGGTTGATCTCATTGGGGCCACAGAAGGTCAGGCGAAGCATCAGGATGGTCTGGACCAAGCCATTGGCAAAGCCATAAATGTAAGTGGCAGCAACAAGAGAGACACAGACACATCTGGACATTTTGCTGCCATACAACAAGGGCTTGCAGATGGCCACATAGCGGTCATATGCCATCACTGCAAGTACAAAATAATCGGTGATCACAAAAGCAATGAATAAGTTGAATTGTATCATGCAGCCAATGAAAGTAATGGTTTTCCTCTTGGATAAGAAGTTCACCAGCATCTGAGGAGTGACAGTGGTGGCATAGCAGAGATCTACAAAGGCGAGGTGGCTGAGGAAGAAGTACATTGGGGTGTGGAGCTTTGAGTCACTTCCGATGAGGAGAATCATGGTCACGTTCCCTATAGCAGTGACAATGTAGATGACCAAGAAGACCACAAAAAGGACGGGCTGCAGCTTGGCTCGGTCTGTCAGCCCCAGAAGAATAAACTCAGTTACCACAGTGTAGTTTTGCTTCATCTTTATGTTCCCTGGCTTCGAGTAAGGCCTAAAGAACAGAAAATAAATATGGATCTCCTTAAATACACAAAGGCAATCATAGTTTTAAATGGTTTTGTGCCAGTCTTTTCTGCAAGTCTTTATATCTGGGCGTCTTTTATCTTGTAACTTTTTGCAAATCTCTATCATTTTGTAGTAAATCAATATCATTTACTATTTCCTTAAACGTATGGGTTTAAACTGTCCTTTAGTTTAAAATCCTAATTTTTTAACATATGATTTTATATGAGGTATCTGCAGCGTAAGCTATAGAAATTCATCTTTGACTTTCCCAGGTTAATAAATTTTTGGAAGTAAAAGTGATATTATGAGTATCATAGAACTAGGTCTTTTTATTTGTTGGTGTAAACCTAAGACATTTTTCCAGGCATATTTCTATTTATGCCAGGTATATACACATTCAGTGCACAAATAACATATGTGTGTGTGTATTAATACAAAGACATTGGGGAGATTAATTTTTCATGAATAACCAGTGTTTAAGAGGAAAATAATGTAACAAAATGTCAGAGGGGTGATGAGTGCAATAATGAATAAAGGTCGAGAGACGATTTCTCAGACCATAATGAACTTCTTTGTTCCGGTTGTTGCAAGTTCTTTTGAAAAACACTGTAATATCAATGCAAGATAGGTCTTTTAAACATAAAACTTACATCCTTTAGTTCATAGTGAAATAACACTAATGTTAACCAGATGACTGAGGCAGTACTTAAGGCACCATGGACTGCACCTCCCCTCATCTCCACTGCTCAGGAAGACCATCGAGAAATGACAACATTCTCCTCTGGTGACTTACACCCACTCAGGACAATGTGCGACTGATTCTCTTTTTCCTGACTCTTTTGTAATAGATACAATACTAATGATGGAAACAGAGCAGTGTTAACGCACTTTATGCATTGAGCACTCAAGGATTCTTGTGCAATGTGTTATATCATGGTGAGCCTGACTCTTTAGAATTAAACTACAGCAGCAAAATGGGAAAGAGGTCATCTGACTTAGTGAAATTCTAATAATTTCATATTTTTAAGCCTATAAGATAAAAGTGAATTATGTCACAATACTTGCCAAATGGACAAATATTCTTTTCTTTTTGGTTTTGGTTTTGGGTTTTTTTTTTTTTTGTTTTTTGTTTTTTGGTACCAGGGATTGAACTCGGATGCAAATATTCTTTTCATCCTGAAAGAAATAACAAAGACATATTTTAATGTCTTCGTTTGCTGAAATATTAATTGAGATTCAAAATAGTTAACATCTCCCTTAATTTTTGACTGTGTGGAAATGTGACAATTCAAGGAATGAGCATTCTGGATAATTTAAGCAAGTACTTTAAGTGATTCTGGAAATATCACAGAGTTCCTGAAATTCTCTTTACTGAAAACCTCCCTAATGTGAGAGCTTTCTGCCCCCACTCAGTCCTAAATTCTGGTTCAGCCAAGGTCTCCGTGGCATGTACTTGTGGTTCAGTTTAAAGTAGCAAAACAAAGTTAGGGTAGGCTCCTGTAAGAAAATATTTTCAGTTAACTTTAAATAATTTGCATAGTTTATAAACCAAAGGTTGCCAATCTTCACACAAGGCAGTACAGAAATTCTATGAAGCAATGATTGTAATTATGGATTAGCAGTGTGAACTCACAAGGAATTACAAGGATAAATTAGTACCATGCCTTAGTTTGCTACTCCTTTTGTGGATTCGGGAGGAGTAGACCCGGTTACTGATTGAGAATCAGGGTGTGACAGTCACTGGGAGCTTGTCATGTCTCTTCCTGGGTGGAAATCTCACTTCTTCTAGTTTAAAGTTGTGTAAACTTGGTAAATTCTAAAACTCTCCCTGTCTGAGGTTTCTCATTTATGATATTTGCTTCATTTTAGCAACTGCTTCCCTGAGAGGAAGTTGATTCAGGGACATCATTTCAAATATGTCAGGCACTTAGCAAGCACTTAAACATATGTAGATACTGACATTTTGGTGAAAGACGCAGGTCTAGGCTAAAACAATATGATGTATAACAGCATGAGCTCCTTAGGGACAGGGATTATACCTATTCTGTGGTCATAGACACAGTGGCACCTACTTAAGTGCTTTTCCATGTGGAAGCAGTCAATAATATTGATGGTGTTAATGCTTGCTTTGGGCTAGCTCACCTTCCTCTAGGCAAACACTACTCCAACGTACATTGATTCATAATGCATTACAGAGAGAATGGTAGGATTTTAATAACCCTAACCCATCACATTAAGACTGATCCAAGTCAGCCTTTATGGATTAAAGTACTTATCTCTGGACTCCAAAATTTAAAAGAAATACATCTGATCCTACCTCAGAAGGGGATGTGATCTCACGGCAACAGCATCCACAGGACAAACCTGTAGCATTCATCACAGATTTGTGTCACGGGGACCAAATCCCTATGGTTCAATTACTTCCTGCAGAGAGCTGTTTACATGAGGAACCACTGTGATCATCCTATTCCTAAAGTGTGGAACTCAGAAATGAGTTTTACTCTCTCTCTCTCTCTCTCCACTGTCATGAAGGAATCATAATTCCCAAAACTGATGAAGCAATGGGACTCATTATTTATTTCAATTTGTGATAAGGGCCCCAATATATATTTTTCTTAGGCAAATATAAGTTTTTCCCTTTTTATACAACTTGCAAAATAGAATAGGTACATATTATCGGGAGGATGTTTTCGAATCTGAAAAATATTGGAAATTGAGTAATTACACAGGATTTTCAGTGAATTTGAGCACTATACCTTTTTTTATACAAATAGTCCAGAGCTATAAGAACATGCTAAAGTTTTAATATAGAAATATTCTCTCTTTACCACTGCACTCCGCACAAATGCATTCCCTATTTTCTCTTCTCTTCTCTTCTCCTCTCTTTTTTTTTTCCTTCTTTTGTCCACCTGGAGTCATAGATAACATCAATATAGCACCTTTGACATTTATTTAAAGTAGACTTTAGCCAAAGAAAGAAACCAGTGAGAGGTCAGAATTGGGAAGGAGAGACCTAGCTCTGTTTCTTTCTCATTCTATTCCTGTTTCACTATGAACCCAGTAGAATGGTTGTTTTCCTACCTAACAAGAGGCTCCCAACAGTAATCTAAACAGTTTCTGTAAAATATGTTGTATTATTAAACAACACTGAGGCCAAACAGAACCCTCAGGAAAGACGAGCAGTTTTCTCAGGAAGACCCCGGCTCATGAAGGGAGGGAAGCCTGGGAAGTACTCTGACAAAGAGAGGTCACAGACAGGCAGCCAGGGAGGGCCAAGTCAAGGGGGAAGTCTGAGCTTTGGCAGTTAGGAGGGATTTTCTTGCCCATTAAGGAGATATTCATACCTCTCTAAAGAATATCTTTGTTATTTTTAAAGTTACACTTAATGGTTCTTATAAAACTATACCTGCTACACACCTGAGGTCCTACCAGTCCACTTCTAAGTCATACTTTTCTGCTTGAACCCCCATAAGTGGTCTCATGTTTGGCTGAGATATAGTGATTTTTGTGTATAAAAATCTCTCGACAAAGAGTCCCTGTGACAACCTGGTCAGGTCTCCCCCACCCCAGGTTTATTCACTTTCATTTTACAATAAATGCTGCTCTTTGCTTTTGCTCTATAAAAAATACTTTTGTTCCGTTCTCTTCTGACTCTCCGCCTTGTCATTCATTCTGGGTTGGGAGGAGAACTCACTGGCCGGGTGGTGATGCTCCCTTGCTCCGTCAGCTTCAGGGTGCAACTTTTAACTGGCATTTGCCCAAAGTGATACAAATACCTGGAATAAAATCAGTAATTTTGCTTGTATTTTCAATGCTTTCCTTATATTTCCCTAAACTAAGCCATCTGAGTAGAACTTCGTCACATGCTATCTCAGATTGAGACCAGAAAAGTATACAATTATTACTCACCAAACACAGTGGTGCCTCCGTTCACGAACTCTATCCATTCCACAATTTTGGAGAAGGGCGGAGTTTGTGAATGGAAGAAAGATTTTGGCTCATGCTTCTGTTTGCAAATTGAACTATTCACACATAGAAATGTTAATGAATCAAGGTATTACTCTATTACAGTGGAGGGGATAAGAGTCAGAGTATTGATTTATTGTCATTGTTGTTAAAGTTTGGGGCTGGCTCTGGGTCTTAATAAAATTGTTACTCATTTCTACAAGAATATTATTCTCATTATATAGATTCTTTTATTGATGCACTCAGCAACAAAATGAAAGAATGTCTAAGCCTCATTATCAACACTAAATCTCCCTTCCACACCCCAGGAATTATAGTAACACCCATTTGCAGGCCCCCACTGAGTGACAGTTCAGGCTGATTCAATATTTCCTTCAACACCTTTAGCCCCTTTCTTCCTATTTTACTGTCTTTGATGCACTCAGCAACAAAATGAAAGAATGTCTAAGCCTCATTATCAACACTAAATCTCCCTTCCACACCCCAGGAATTATAGTAACACCCATTTGCAGGCCCCCACTGAGTGACAGTTCAGGCTGATTCAATATTTCCTTCAACACCTTTAGCCCCTTTCTTCCTATTTTACATTGTCTATTATATCATTAGGATCTTATGTACTATTATGGGAAAAGGGGAAAAAATGAGAACCAAGACACATCATGTAAAGGTGCAAGATCCCAATGATGAATATAACTGTACTGTACACCTAAAATGTACCGAAAAAATCAATCAGGAAAAAAAATATTTCCTTCAAGTTTTAATAATAGGAAACCCAGAAATTTGCCAAGCCTTTAACAAAACATTAAGAAGATAATGATAATTGCTGTTATGTCCACCAAAACTTTTTTGAGTAACTGTGTTATTCTGGCTATACATGTGTCAATGTAATATGAGGTGTTTATCTCTTGGGAAGCTCCCAGAAGATGAGTTGAGTGAAATACCTATTTTGAGGTTTTTGTGGAACCTCTAGCCTAATTCCCATAGTA